TGTGTGTGTGTGTGTGTGTGTGTGTGTGTGTGTTGGGATGGGAGAGGGGAAGGAGAGGACATTGCTATAAGAATACTCCTGGGGATTGTGGAAAGCTGGGGTTATTGACCTAAAGGATCTTGGATGGAGGCCCTGAAGGCAGCACAGGCATGTAAGCTTGGATTTCATCCAGACTTGGAGATCTGATTTACTGTTTAATCACATAGCTTGCTGGCTGGAATATCACTAATGCAGGTGAAACAAATAGAAATAATAGAACAGATTTAAAAGGGGGATGTGAACTCAGCTAAATCTTTTTTAAAATATGAAACCAATAGGTGCTCTTAAAATGCTTATAGATTCAGTATTCATTATTTTTCTAACGTGATTTTTTTGAAGAAAAAGTTGGCTAGACATTTTGTTCAATCTTATTTTTGAAAACCCCACGTATTATCATTTCTATTTAATGCTTTAATGTATTTGCCGAGTGTCTCCTATATACCAGGCACTGTTTTAGGCACTGGGGTTATACTAGCACAACAGGAAAACGCTTCTCCGATGGAGTTTACATTCTCCTGGGGGGAGGTGACAACCAATAATAATGCGCAAAAAAAAAAAAAGTTGGGAAAATAGGGTAGGGATTGTTGAGGGGATCTTGCAGTGTTTCAGTATTAAATATTTAGTGTTTGTCAGTGTTGTCAAAATCTTTTTGAAGATTAATACCTTTATCTTTGTGCTTTGGTGTCTTTAGTAAGTTAATGTAGCCATATTCTTATATCAGTTATACTGAAAAAAGAGAATCTGTGTGTACATCCAGCAAGTAGAGATGAAACTGAGAGTAATCCTGTTACCATTTTTCTACAGTCACCGTTTGTTTATCAATCGCTGCTGATCTAATTTGGGGCTCGTCCAGACTTAATTTTCCCCATTGCTGCTTGTGCAGCTCACCCCATCCATCTTTATCGCATATTCCTAATGAGCAGGGCATTTGTATTCAGGGATCATGCTAAACTGTTCTGGAAGTAAATTTGAAAGCAAATGACCTAAATGAGTTTTGGGGTAAATTGTGATTGAGTTGTTTATGACCTTCAAAAATTGTATAATAATTGATTCCTATTTGTGTAGATCAATGTGGTAATAGAAAAATATTCCACTTTGCATTTATTATGCATCTACAGTTGGGTTGTCAAAAGCCTCAGATCCGTTTGTTTGTGGGTATTTTTGTGTTACTAGGAGTAGGACTTGTAGTAAGACGCTCTGTTATTCTTTCATACAAGCGAACCCTTCTCCGCAGTAGGAATTGTTCTAGGCATCACGCATGCAACAGTGAATAAAACAAGCCCCTTTCACAGAGCTTGTTTCATTCAAGCAGTTCAATGGGAGGGATTCAGACAATTAGCCAATAAGTACTGGGTTGTCGGAAAAGTCATGACGTATTTTTTCTATGTTTTTCGTTGCAAAAATGCGTTATGACTTTTCCGACAACCCAATATATACAGCTTTGAGGAACAAGTGAGGGAAATGTGACACTGAGGAAGATAAAAATTGGGCCAGTAAATAGGGAGAGCCCTTTGCAGGATAGTTAGACAACACGAGGCAAGTAAGGAAATGAGTTACTGTGAATATCGGGGCAGGAACACTTCCTGGTTGTTGTGTTTGAGTTTCTTTACTGAAAATGGAGGCTGGTTTACTGGAGTGAGTTTTAGGAGGAGAGAAGAACACGGATCCTGTGGGATTTTATACGTGGCTTACAGGACCTTGGTATTAACCTGAGTGAGAGGGGAAGCCATTAGAGCACTGGGGAACAGAAGAGTGGCATCACTTTAGCTGGGTTTTTCTAAGATCTGGCCAGCGTGTAAAGCACAGTCAGAGGGGAAAAAGGGCAGAAGCAGGGAGACTAGGTAAGGGGCTGATGAGTTGTGTGCATCAGGAGCGATGGTGATGGGCCAGAATGGCGACAAGTGGTTGGATTCGGGATCTATGTTGCAAGAAAAGCTGACAGGTTTTGCTGATAATATCTGGGACGTGAGAAAAAGAGCAGTCACATATTTTGGCCTGGCAGTTAAAAAGATTAATTTGCTAGTGAGAAGATGGGGGAATGTTGTAGAATAGGTTTGGGTGGGAAAATTAGGTGTTTGGTTGGACATGCCGAGTGTGAGATGCTTCCTAGGCCTCACGTTGGAGATACTGTAGTAGGCTGCTGGACATCTGACCCTGGCATCTGGGGGCGAGGCTGTGGATGATGACTGAGGAAAGGTTTAAATCTAATGAGAGCTAGCATTTGATTTACTTATTTAAAAATGGAGAATTATATTTATTATCAAGCGTTAGAATACATATGTATTCTATGTATTTCTATGTATTAAAAACTATTGTGTTTTCTATTCATTTTATTTTTAAAAAATCTGCAGCTCCAGCAAGAAAAAGAGGCAAAACTCTAAATATAATAGTTTAGGGGATTAGCTTCACTTTTAGTCATGTGATAAATCTGAAGAAACAGGAGGGATCATAGGTCAAGAGATATTTTTAAAAATACCAGAAAAGTTACAGCTCCCAAATATTAGTTTTTTTGAAGGGTTAGGTTTATCTTTTTTTTTTATCAATTGTCTTAGGAAGTAAGTAATGAGGAAAAACCAAGATTGGAGTAGAACTAAAAGACTACTATATAAAATATGAATGTTGGTGACTTATTTTCCTTAGCTTATTTTTGAAATACGAGTTGCAGTGTATTTTTCCTTTGTTAGTTTAAACTAAAATTTATATTTATTTAGGTTGTTTGACATTTCGTATGCTTTTTTGCTAAATTAAAATACTGTGGTGACATCAGCCTTTTTCTTCTTTTGCTAGCACTTCATATGTATTTTAAATATGATTCTCTTTATCATAGAATTCTGTTTTAAAATAAATAATTTGTATTACTTTAGCTGTGAAAAAGTGTTTGACTAAAGTTTTGAAAAAGTTGACTAAGAACTTGTTTTTTTTTTTGTTTTTTTTTGTATCTTTAGATCCAAAGGCAGAAACCAGATTATACATCACAGTCAATGACTTTGAATTTCATGTCTACAATCGTTCGGATCTTTATGGACGTCTTCAAGAATTGTTTGGTTTGGAGCCAACAATAATTCCACCCAAGAAGGAGGATGATAAGACACGGGAAAATGGAAGAACAAGAACCCAGTCTAAAATCAAAAGGTTTATTGTCACACTTGAATTATTAGTCTCCAACATTAAAACATTTACTTTTATTAGAATATCATTAATACTATTCATCTAAACACGGCCTAATCTTTTGTTATAGATTAAAACTTTTATTCACATAATTGTATAATTCNACAAAACCCAGGCCTGCTGACTGCCAACCTAGTGCTCCTGACGTTACAAAACAGGCTTGTCAAACGTGGCTCAGGCAGGTACTGGGAAATTCTGTGTTGCGCTGATGGCAGCTGGTGGGAGGAATTGGAGGCATTTGCAGTCTCAGGAGGCAGCTGCACGCTTTAAAGAAACCTAATGGGACCGCTCACTTTAGAAGTTTCTCAGACATGTGGAACACTGTCTTAAATTGTTTATAGCTTCTTTTTGAAGAAAATAATTACTTAATTACTTCATTTTGTCATGAAACATTTCCTCTCCTTAAACTGATTGCTCTTCACCAGAATGCATGGATGAGGTCAAGAATCACTGACCCAAGTCCTTCAGGAAAGATAGCTTTTGATAAAACTCTTTGTCTTATTAACAGGTACTTGCTCTGCATTCATGTTACTGATCATTGTGTTAAACTGGAGGGAGGGATTTAAAACAGAAAGAGGAATGGGTGTTACCTGAACCTATTTAGGGGAGACATGCATACAAACAATGATAATTAAAGAAGAGAGGGAGCAGTCAGTGTGTTTTGAGGAAAAATACTGAGAACTCTCTCGGCAGCTTTACTGACTGTGGTATGGAGCACGTGGCGTGGCCCCAGCAGGGGCGGGGTTTGCTGATGTGTGCTGTTCTGCCCATTTGTGTGGGGGGGTGGCTGCTGTGCAAGTCCCTTCTGAAGCAGCCTCATGGTGGTGACCGTGAGAGGGGTCTGCAGGCAGAGATGGAGTGGGAAGGAGAGTAGCTCAGGTGGATTAACTGGTTTGACCTGTGGCCTTGGGGTTGGAAAATAGGTGTTTAGGAATTAGCAAATAACTCAATTTGGTGGTAAATGTAAGGTAAAGGAGTAATAGGGGGTGATTTGGAAGCTGTGTTATGAAGGCTGTTGAACAGCTGGCAGCTCCACCATTAAAGGTTTTTGGGCGGGGCTGGGGAGGTGACATGAACTTAGCTCATTTCAAATGGTATAAGAGACATGTAATCACTACCTTCTTCACATGCATATACCCCTCATTAATATTAATAGCTCAGATATTGGTCCTTTAATGTGCTCCCTGGCAATGCTTTGTGTCTTCAATTCTTTTTGTCACTCTTAATATTAACATATTCCTTCATCTGTGCTCTCTCTCTGCAGTTGTCCATAATGTGGACGAAATATCATATTTTTGGGATATTTCATGTTTTTAATATTTAAGAATATTTAAATTGTTTTGTCCTGATAGTTCTTTTATATTATTTTGTGTGCCAGAAAAAAGATTCCACACCTCCTTTTACATTGTCATTCATAACTTTGTGAATACATAATTTACTGTATCTTGCCATGTATGATATGCACCTTTTTGCCCAAAATTGTGAGGGAAAAATAAGGATGCACATTATACATGGGTAGCACTAATTTCGTATTTATGTAAAGGTTTTTAATTCTTTTATTTGTGCTTGTGAGTTAAAAGTGTAACTCTAGAAATCAATAATGATATCCATATGCAAAATGATACCTTGGGATACAATAACCGGTTTTGTTGAACTTAGGACAAACGTGCAATGATAAAGAGTTGGCCTTCTATGATATGTAAATATTGTAAATTTGTTGCTGGTACATAAAATTTCTTGTACCTTGTATCTGTCCTTGTGTTTTGTAATTATTTGTCACATAAAATTTCTTGTACCGTAATATGTTAAAAAGTGAATGCTAAAATTCCTTTATGATACAAAAACAAGTACCTGCATGTAAACAAATAAACATTTGAATTAAAAAATTAAAACGAAAGATTTTTTTCCCTGAAAGCTTGGGCCAAAACATGAGTGCACATTATACACGGCAAAATATGGTAAGTAACTAGTAAGAATTTGACCTGCAAAGACAAGGAAACTAGTATTCATTGTCTACAACAATCCTACAGGAAGGTAGAAGTATTCTTATTTTATAGGTGAGAAAACTGAGACTCTGAGTGGTTAAGGCACTTTTCTCAGGTCACACTAGTAAATGATGGTACAGGGATCCAATCTAATATCCTTAGGACTGTTTATTGACCACTTTTTTCTGGTTCCCGGAATGAAGGAGTCCCCAACTTTTTTTTCTTAAGAAGGTGTGTGTGTGTGTGTGTGTGTGTGTGTGTGTGTGTGTGTGTGTGTGTGTGTTGGGATGGGAGAGGGGAAGGAGAGGACATTGCTATAAGAATACTCCTGGGGATTGTGGAAAGCTGGGGTTATTGACCTAAAGGATCTTGGATGGAGGCCCTGAAGGCAGCACAGGCATGTAAGCTTGGATTTCATCCAGACTTGGAGATCTGATTTACTGTTTAATCACATAGCTTGCTGGCTGGAATATCACTAATGCAGGTGAAACAAATAGAAATAATAGAACAGATTTAAAAGGGGGATGTGAACTCAGCTAAATCTTTTTTAAAATATGAAACCAATAGGTGCTCTTAAAATGCTTATAGATTCAGTATTCATTATTTTTCTAACGTGATTTTTTTGAAGAAAAAGTTGGCTAGACATTTTGTTCAATCTTATTTTTGAAAACCCCACGTATTATCATTTCTATTTAATGCTTTAATGTATTTGCTGAGTGTCTCCTATATACCAGGCACTGTTTTAGGCACTGGGGTTATACTAGCACAACAGGAAAACGCTTCTCCGATGGAGTTTACATTCTCCTGGGGGGAGGTGACAACCAATAATAATGCGCAAAAAAAAAAAAAGTTGGGAAAATAGGGTAGGGATTGTTGAGGGGATCTTGCAGTGTTTCAGTATTAAATATTTAGTGTTTGTCAGTGTTGTCAAAATCTTTTTGAAGATTAATACCTTTATCTTTGTGCTTTGGTGTCTTTAGTAAGTTAATGTAGCCATATTCTTATATCAGTTATACTGAAAAAAGAGAATCTGTGTGTACATCCAGCAAGTAGAGATGAAACTGAGAGTAATCCTGTTACCATTTTTCTACAGTCACCGTTTGTTTATCAATCGCTGCTGATCTAATTTGGGGCTCGTCCAGACTTAATTTTCCCCATTGCTGCTTGTGCAGCTCACCCCATCCATCTTTATCGCATATTCCTAATGAGCAGGGCATTTGTATTCAGGGATCATGCTAAACTGTTCTGGAAGTAAATTTGAAAGCAAATGACCTAAATGAGTTTTGGGGTAAATTGTGATTGAGTTGTTTATGACCTTCAAAAATTGTATAATAATTGATTCCTATTTGTGTAGATCAATGTGGTAATAGAAAAATATTCCACTTTGCATTTATTATGCATCTACAGTTGGGTTGTCAAAAGCCTCAGATCCGTTTGTTTGTGGGTATTTTTGTGTTACTAGGAGTAGGACTTGTAGTAAGACGCTCTGTTATTCTTTCATACAAGCGAACCCTTCTCCGCAGTAGGAATTGTTCTAGGCATCACGCATGCAACAGTGAATAAAACAAGCCCCTTTCACAGAGCTTGTTTCATTCAAGCAGTTCAATGGGAGGGATTCAGACAATTAGCCAATAAGTACTGGGTTGTCGGAAAAGTCATGACGTATTTTTTCTATGTTTTTCGTTGCAAAAATGCGTTATGACTTTTCCGACAACCCAATATATACAGCTTTGAGGAACAAGTGAGGGAAATGTGACACTGAGGAAGATAAAAATTGGGCCAGTAAATAGGGAGAGCCCTTTGCAGGATAGTTAGACAACACGAGGCAAGTAAGGAAATGAGTTACTGTGAATATCGGGGCAGGAACACTTCCTGGTTGTTGTGTTTGAGTTTCTTTACTGAAAATGGAGGC